TGCAGTGTCCTCCAGCTATTTCCCTGGCTCTCTTAAATCAGTCTTTTCTCTCTTACTGCTCTTCTTCCAAGCAGACCTGGCTGGAAACTGGCCTGTTTATTAAATCACTGGCCCCAAAGAGTTCCTTTTTCCTGCTTCCTCTCACCATGCCAAAAGGCTTACCCCTCAAAAAGGTTGAGGGGGAGGGGCATGAACTGGCCTGCAAACTGCTACCGTTTGCACCCTTTTTGCAAAATAGGAGCTGGGCCTTGTTTTCTGTGACGCAGTCATAACACTATTGTAGCTTTGCCCATGATATGACACATACGATAAATTTGATCCAAAGTGATTTGTAGGCAACCTATCCTGTCTAGGATACTTGCAATGTTTAAGGCAAGTGAAATATCATGAACAAGTACAATATGAACTATATCAGTAAACTGATATACTTTTTCCAATTGTACTAAATCAGGGCAAACCAAGAAATTCTGTAATTTAGAAATAGAGTTTTATCATAAAAACTCACATAGCAAATGTTAAATGCAATCAGTCTTTCTTTTGGAGGTAGATATTTAAAAATGACCCCATACCACATTATGATCTGTGCTCAGTACAAATATGTAGACCCTAAAAATTCTGCAGTATTGACATAAACATACATACCCGATTTGTGAACAGTCTCGATATGGCAGCACTGAAAATATGCTACAGAAGGATCTTCTGCCACTGATAAGGACTATTCTAAAAATAAACAACAAATATTAAAGTAAACAAGTAATCCCATTGCATTAAGTGTTTATCATAATTATTAGTATTAAACACTAATGAGACATTTAGCAAATATTCTATTATTGACAACAATCTTCCTCTTCTCTTTTGGAAGTTGATTTTTCTTCCTTGTACAACTGAAATGTTTACGTAAGTTGAATTGCAGTGCTTCACATTGTATAGATAAATCAAAACAGACAATTAACACTGCTCAATTCCCAGGTTCTATATAAAAAGTACATAATAATATCCCTTGTAAAGTAAAGAGATGAACCCATACTTTGTAGTGGTTGGGTCAGCTCAGTTGTTCTCAAACTTTAGACTTACGACACCCTTTGGAAAATACCAGCTCTTAGCTTTCACTTGTTTGTTTTTTAACTATGGAAAAATAGAGCAATTCTGTTGCAAAGACCACAACAGATCACAACACTTTTGACATCATGGATTCCCATTTCAAATCGGTGTTAACTTGTGAACCATGTACAGGTGTTTGTTCACCTAACCTTCCTAATACTGCATGAATCCTTAAAAGGATTTCATGGCACACTGCAGTGCAGTGATTGAGAATCACTTATTTAGCTTATTCACAATTTGAATCATAATGTAGGCAATTTTAACTCAGTTTAAAAGCACACTGACGGAGGGGAAATAGGAGTAATTTTATAAAAGGTTATTTTTCTACCATAACACCAGGAATTCTTACCATTATAGAAATAGTAAGCTGCTACATTACCATTTTTTAACATGATCTTCAAAATTGGCACATAGTTAATTTTTAAAAGCATTCTGATCCACTTATCAGAAGCAGAAGACAAAAAGATTTCAAATAAAATATTAATATCCAATCTAGAAGATGGACTACTGGGAAGAGAGGAGGTCTACCTGACATAGATGGAAGAGCATCTTTGTATACAGGCTTGCAAATGCGGCAAAGAGGGCTTTAAAACTAGGTGCAC